CTCTCTTTGCTAATCTCTGTGGCTAAGCACAGTGCCTATTCTGTTTAGAATTAGTTAACAGGTGGTCCCACAGAATAGGTTATGAAAACAAGAGTTACACTTCTCACTGATGAAAAGGAATGGGCAACAGCTAAGCATCCTTAGCTGTTCTGAGCCTGCTCCACATTGACTGCACAGGACATGAACCATCACAGAACACATGGCCAGTACTTAGGTGCAGAAGACAGGACAGGGAGTGGCAGGTGGCAGGAGGCTCTTCCAGGTTTAGTCTTCTCCCAGTTGAGGCCCCTATTGCAAATGCTAGTAGCTTACACCACAGCCAGGACTCAATGGTTTGTCTTTTTCAAGGATCCTGTGAGGTTGGGGGGACACAGAGCATCACTTCCCTGCTCTAGACCACCTTGGCTGCCTTCCCAGTGACATCTGAACATCTCATCTCAGCCCGTGTGTGTCCTTCTATTGAAGTTCCTCATCATTGTGCAGGTGGAATGGGCTTCTCAATTAGGAGGTGTACTTTATAGCAAGTCTCTGTATAGCAAGCAAATACACACAAGTCTCCTTCTTGGTTCTTTAAAAACAAACATTCAGAAACCTACAGCAGCCACAAAGCATCTCCTCACCAGAAGACGGCAACCTGGTGACTCAACGGCCAGGAACAGCCACCATGGCTCTTTTCACTGCCACAGTGGCCACATCCATCTGCTCTCAGGGCTTCCCAAGACACACCGGGTAGCACTGCCACCTCCCCGTCTCCCCACCCATGTGCCACATTAGTTGTCCCCAAGCCAGCTTAAGCGCCAGCTCTGCTGGAAAGCTTCCTAGTCCAACCTGATTCCCAGCACTAACAAAACCAGTTCTCTCCGTTTCCATAGCACTTGGCTTTTACATCTCAATTAATTTTTATTACAGCCTGTGTTTTACTTAGCTGAATATTTCCACCTCCTCTACGTGCCAGGGGCACTGCTCAGTCCTTTGTATCCCATCACAGCAGCACCTGCCAGGTGGGCACTACAAATAAACCCCTGGAGCAACTTGGAGGGAGAAAAGCTCTGGACAAAATGTCAGAGTAGGGAGTAACCTACAAAAAGTAGGTGTGATCGACAGAAAGCACACATTTTCTCCTGTATTCAAGGTTTGCCTTTGGAGACCCGAGATCAGGATGCCTGGAGCTTGGGTTGGGTTAGATCACTCGGAGCCAGCCCGACCATACGGCCTGGCCTGTAGGAACAGTAGCCTCCACCTCCACAAGGGCGTAGCAGGCCAAAAGTGGACTTCAGAATTGGACGGAGGTAGCTCCCAACCCCATTCTCCCTCTGTGAGCCTCGGGTATCTTAGCTAGAGAAGCAGCGTGACTGCCTCGTCAGGTTTTTAGGAACGTCAAGAGATGACCAGCCCCCTTAGCTCCTACTGAGGGCACGGAGCTGTCCTGTTCCAGTGGACAGCAGAGGACAGCAGCTGTTCTAGACCCAGCAAGAAGCACAGACAGCAGCTCACACCTTCAGCATTCCTCCACTATTTTAACCAAACATCTCAACCGATGTCAACTGGGTCTCTTGGCCGGAATCTGAGTATCTTGCTTGGGCTTCCTGGTCCTTGTTTGTTGACATACATGCTACAGGGCTTGCTGAGCCTCCCTCCTACACAGACTGGCTTCTTGGTTCCTCAACCTCACTACCCACACCCCTGAACCCAACACCATGCACTCACTGGCTCTTCTTCAAAGAAATGAACCCTGGGCTTGCCACAGGCCTCAGCTGTAGCCTTTAGACTTGGGCATACTAAGTCCTGGAGACACAACCATCAGGGACAATGCTAGGCCTCCTCTCAGGATCCCAGCTTGGTACACTGGGCACACTTTCCCTCAGACAGGTGGCAGATAAGTCATTGCAGAAATAAGGGAAAGGAGCAGGAATTTGACTTGGTAATTAAGACATTCATGTCTCAGGCCCAGCACGCTGGCTCAATGGCTAAATTCTCACTTGCATGCACCAAGATCCTATATGGATGCTGATTCATGTGCCAGCTGCGCCACTTCCCTTCTAGCTCCCTGATTGTGGCCTGGAAAAGCAATGGAGAATGGCCCAAAGCCTTGAGACCCTATACCCACACGGGAGACCAGAAGCCCCTGGCTCCTGGCTTCGGATCAGCTCAGCTCCAGCTGTTGCAGCAGATGGAAGATCTTTTCTTTCTGTCTCTCCTTCTCTCCATAAATCTCATCTGTCTTTCCAATACAAATAAAATTAATCTTTAAAAGTAAACTAGAAAAAAAAAAAAAGACCTCCATGTCCCATACCAGAGCACCCTAGTTCAATCTTGGTTCCAGCTCTCCAATTGAGCTTCTTGCTAGTGCATCCTCTAGGAGGCCGTGATTTCTCAAGTGCTTGGCACCTGCCACCAGTGTAAAAACACATGGATTGTGGTCCTGAGCTCCACATTTGGCCCTGACCAAGAGACCACTGTGGACATTTGAGGAACAAGGCAGCAAACAGAAATCTCTCTGGCTCTGTACATCTGAAATAAATGAAAAATTAGAAGAAAGCCAGAGCTGTGTTGTACAGGATAGAGAAAGCATCACTTAGGCCCTGAACAGCCATCACTATATCCCCAAATACTGACCAGTTCCTCCTGCACCCTCTTAGCATAAACAGCAGCAGGTCAAGCCAAGTCCTTAGTAAGATCACACAAAACAATGCTGACCCTGTGCCAAGTGTTCACAAATCCCAGCAGGCCTGCAAACCTGAAAGGAGCATTCCAGAATCTGTGCTCCACCTTGGGGCTGACCTCCTGTGGCTCATATCCCCTCAGCAGACTCCTTTCTGCATGTTGCACAGGGGACCCCAGCCTCCTAGATCTGGCCTGTTGATTGTGTGCCCCATCTTCTGTTCCATTCTGTTCCCCAGCTCAGGGCACCAAGGTTATCTCTGGATATTCCACAACGGGTTCTTCCCCGACCAGGTCTCACTTCCTGGAACCCCGGGCCCTGCCCTTGGCAGCACCTTCTCACCTGGCCTTTCTAGCTCTCAGCTCCACAGAGCCCCTGCTCACTGCTCACCCTCACTCAATGCAGAGAGGCCCAGCAGGAGGCTGATGCTGGACTGGTGGCACACACACAGCCCAGATACCACTTTGCACATGTGATGTTCTACATCCAGTATCTGACAAGACAGAGGCTGCACAAGGACAAGGGGCCACCTTGGTCGCTGAGGACCCAGCTGTGAATCAGTGCTCAGAGTGAAAGGACAGTGGCTTCCTTTTGGAACTTGCAAGGAGGGGAACTGGCACACAGCAAGGCTGTCCTACTTAGGCAGCCTCGTTCCTGACACTCTCTAAACTGTGCCATGGGATTCTAAATGCTTGCATGACCTGGAATGCCCAATGGCGTCAATCGTCTTCTCGGGGACCAGCAAGTACAGGAAAAGAAAGTGCTAGCACCACTCAGGCCAAGAGGACAAACACAATGCCCTGCGTGAATGGTCACCATTGCTCTAAGCACACAGGTGCCTTGTTCCAACTGGGAAGGGCCAAGGCAACCTCAGCATTAACAGGATGAGAAAGACCCAATGCTAACAACCAGGGCCATCATTGCTCCTTCTGGAGGCTGGGAAAAGATGAGACGAGGTTAACACGGTGTGGTGCAAGACATGGCAAGAGGGGTAGACTTAATAAACTGAACAGAAAATGGGAAACGATCCTCAGCCAACATCCGAGTGACCAGCACACGGAGATACACGCTGCTTGGAAAGGGTGTCTGTGCTCTTGTGAGTCCTGGCTGGGAGCCTGGGGTTTCAGGAAATTCCTAATGAGACAGGAAGTCGAGTATTTTTCCAGATAATCTCTACTTTATCCCTTTTACTTCCAGTTTACAGTTCTTAATATCCCTCTTTACTAAACTATTGCTCTTCAAAGAGATCTTTTATAGCTTTTGGTCTCTGTTGGAAGTTGAAGCGGGAAGCCGCCTGGGTTCTGAAGAATAAGCAAAGTGACAAAGCTGATGGCTCAAGGCAGAGACCAACAGCTTTGCAGGGGAAGGAGTGTGGGACTAGAGCCCAGGTCCTTGCTGGCTCTGGGGTCATCTTCTGCACAGCTCTTGGTCTCTCAATCTTACCATGGTTAACAATAAAGCAAAGGCCAGGCTTCTGGACCCCTTCCTGCTTCTCGAAGATGCAAGAACAACACAACCTGAGATTCTGAGTAACTGGTATTTCTTCCAATACTTATTGCCAGAAACTCTTATCTGCATCAGAGAGAGACTGGCACTGCTCTCTCTCTCTGGTTTACCAGCCCACAGGCTGAAGTGGAACTGAGGATGCAGGAGAAAGCCTCATCCTTTGCATGTGTCCCAGGAGCCAGGGTTGTGGCCCAGCTGGTGAGACTGTCATGTACAAAGCATTTTACCTGCAGTGCCAATTCAAGTCCCAGCTGCTCTGCTGCTGATCTGACCCTCTGCTAACGCTGCTGGGAAAGCAGCAGAGGATGGCCCACGTACTTGGGTTCCTGCTGCCCACACGGGAGACCCAGATGGAGTTCTGGGTTCCTGGCTTCAGCCTCGCCCAGCAGGGGCCAAGCTGGGGAGGAAAACCAGCTAACAAAACATGTTTTCCCCTGCCCTTCAAATAAATGAAGTCAATCTTTGGAAAAATAAAAAGCCACTCCATGCCAGATGGATATCTCCTCGGAAACATCTGCCAAGGTACAGGCAGGAGGCAGGTGTTGACCGCAAAGAAATGACCAAACACAATGCCAGAACCCAATTCTCCTAAGGGAACAGAGCCCACCACAGTGACCAGTGAGGTAGGAGGGAAAGCCACCAACTTCGTAGAAGGCCCAGTGGTCAATGCAGAGAGATACCCACTGCCCCGTCCCGCTTCTCCCAGTCCCGGAACCTCGGCAGCTCCCCTCAGCCTCCCATGCTGTAAGGCCTTCACGGTCAGCACAGAGCCTACAAGGCCCTTGGCGGCATATGACACTGGGTAAGCGAAGAGACAGCACACCTCCTGGGGTTTTAAAAATCACATTTATTACTCTCACAAAAGATTGTCCATATATAGTGGTCTTCAATGTTTATTTTCACCTGACTACATATTCTGAATGGCTCGCTTATAATCCAAGGTAGTTTTTCGTGTTTTGCTCTTCAAAACTTATGAACTCTTCACCCAGGCTGCTCCCATGTGAGAGAATTAAAAAGGAGGCTAATGCCTGGGGTGTCTTCTTATTTCTTCTTCCTCTTTGTGGAATATAATTTTTCTTCAAGTGGGACGGGGATGATTCCTTCACACTGTTTTACTTCTTGAGTCAGAGGATGTTTTATAATATTCGGTCTAATCACATCAATGTCTCGTGACAAATACTCCTTTATGCTTTCAACAATAGTTGTTGGTGCATAAAAGTCCACCAAAAAATACCTGCAATAAAATACAAATGTGTGAATCCTTGCATTTTAAAACAGCAATGTTACTGCTTGGGTCAGACACATGCCAATCATATACCAACACACATGCACAGTCTCATCAAATGACACTGCCACCTGATGGAGTGAGCCCAGGCACAGCGTATGCCCATGGCCAGCCACACATTCCTGTGGCCTTGTCCACTGCACCCTCATGAGGACACAAATCCAAAACTCTTTTTGGTCACAAAAAACCCTGGTACATCACATACAGTAAGGGATAAAAAGAATTCTGGTAAGATTTATGGGTCCTCAAAGACAACTTTTTTTAGCCCATGAAAAAGACTAAAATGTTCTAGTTATTGGTCAATTATTTGGTGAAAACATCTTTCACAGTCTTCAAATTTTCCAAGTGACTTAATGCATCTGGAAGGCATAGGAAAGGCCATCAGTGACAATCCACAAACAAGCGGAGGGTTGAGAACGGCACGGGATCCACCTAAGACCATCCTGTCTGCCTTAAGAACAGACAAGAAGACAGAGCAAAGTTACTTGAAGTCAGGGCCAGATCAAGAATGCAACACTCCTCCCCTTAGGCTAGACCAAAACTCATGGGCTACCCATGGGCTACTCATGGGTTACCCACAGGGTTCACTGGCCTCCAAAGGGTCACTACTGACGGACAACCCAAAGGAAGTGTTGCTCTCCTCCTGGCAGATCTAAGTTTAATCCTTCGTGTGCTGTGTGAACTGGACCACAGCGTGGCTCAAGGACAGTCTTCAAGGGCAGCACTTCATCACGCCACACTGTTCCAGCTGATCACGCCACCTGCACCTGTTCCAGCCACGTTCTCCTCAGTGCTCCCAAGCATAGGCCCACCCCAAGTCTGGGCACCTGCTGCTCTGCTGGCAATGTCCAATGGCTGTCTTTTCAGAGGCATTCTGTGTTGGTTTCACCTTATTCTCAGCCTCCCTCACACCATGGGCACAGCACGGCTGTGTCTGCTTCTGTCTCACTCCACAGCAAGGACTGTGCTGCTGCCCGTAGCACCCTGAACAGACATAGACACAGTACAATTCCAGTGTCAAGTTTGACAGCAGGACTGCTCACATGGCAGGTAGAAAGACTAGATTAAAACTGGACAAACTCAGCAAAGAGCATCAGTTAGCAGAAAAAGAATAGCACTTCATAAAATTCCATACAACAAAGTTAAAAACTAAAAAAATATCCTCAGTGATCAATCCCAGTGGGAAAACCATTTTAGTAAGTAAATATTTCAAAGTAAAAGGACAGGAAAGTATGTATCAAGCATACTCAGAGGGAAACTCAGATGGTTATAGCAATAACAGACAAATCGGACATAAAGAAAAATTACCAGGGATAAAGAGACAAGCACATACGTAACAATGGGTTCACCAAGACACAACAGCCCAAACCATCTGTGCCATGTAACAGCTTCACCATACAGGAGAACCAACAGATCACATCTGTGATTATCGGCAGAACTCATGTATAGAGAAACAAGAAGAAGGAAAACATGAACACCAGTATCAGCCAACTGGAAGCAAGTGACACTTATGGAACACCTCACCCACCAACGGCAGAATCCACATTCTTCTCAAGTGCACACAGAGCGTTTACTAAAAGTCAGCCCTATTCTGGGCCATAAAGCAATTACCAACGCAGTTGAAGGGATTTAAATCATAGAGAACGAGCTCAAGAAAATTGCCCTTACACCTGGAAACTAAACACATATCCACATAAACAAGGAAATCAAAAGGGAATTGTAAAGTACCATGAACTGAATGAAAACACAACATATCAAAATTTGGGGAACATCACTGAAATAGTACATAGTAGGAAATTCACAGCTCTCAACACACATAACAAACACGGGCCTCAACTCGATGACCTTAGCTTCCACTTTAACTGGAAAAATGAATAAACAAAATCCAGCAAAATACACTCAAAAGCAGGAAAAATAGAGAGCATCAACGAGACCAACAAGTTCACTGACAGAACCAATACAACAAATAAGCCTCTAGCCAAACCGATCAATAGAGATAAAAATTACTACTACTGGGAATAAGAAAAGTAAAAGAACTAAAAATCTTACAAACATTAAAAGGATAGCAAGGAATATTCTATATAACTTATGCAAAAAAAAAAAGTAGTAACTCAAATGAAATTCCTTAAAAGTGTCTGTCAAAGCTCACTCAAGAAGAAATACATAACGCAGGCAGCCCAGTATCAACTTAATTTAAGTTTGTAGTAACCCCCACCCAAAACACCAAAAACAACAAAACAAAATAAAACAAAAAACCCACAATGGGTTCAGTTGTCTTCACTGGTGAATTATACCAAATGATGATGGATAAACTGTCCATTCTCACACAAACTCACCCAGAAAACAGAAAAATACATCCAGATATGTTCTATGAGGCCAATATTATATTAAAACCAGCCAGACATGTTACAAGGAAAAAAAAAATTCATCATGAACATAGATGAAAAATTTTAAATATTTAGTGAATTGACTACTATAATACATAAAAAGGACAACACATCACCAAATACAGCTTCTCCCAAAAATTCTAATCATTCTATAATATTTGTTTTTATTGGAAAGGCAGAATTACAGAGAGGAGGAGAGACAGAGAGAAAGATGTCCCATCACTGGTTCACTCCTCAAGTGGCCGCAATGGCCAGAGCTGAGCTGATCCAAAGCCAGGAGCCAAGAGCTTTTTCCAGGTCTTCCATGTGGTATAGGGTTCCAAGGCTTTGGGCTGTCCTCTACTTATCTCTCAGGCCACAAGCAGGGAGCCATATGGGAAGCGGCACAGGTAGGACACAAGCCGGTGTCCATATGGGATGCTGATGCATGCAAGGCAAGGACATTTAGCCACTAGACTACCTGCCCAGGCACATAGATAATTCTTTTTTTTTTAATTTTGTTTTATGACACAGTTTCATAGGCTCTGTGATTCCCCAACCCCTCCAGAAAGCCCTCCCCCCATATTGAATTCTTCCATATTGTTACAGTAGTGCAGTTCATAACCAGACCTGATTCCTTCATTGCAGGCATGGACCATGCAGAGAGTCCAGCATCTTATTGTCCAGATAAATTCAACAGTTTCATTGGGAAACCATCCCTGGTCTGAAAGTAGAGCTGACAGGATATTATCCCCTCCAATGAGATGTCACTACACAACTTCAACAACAATTTACAACATCATGAAGTAAATTGACATGTTATTGAGTGACCAATATGTTAGAAACTGCAAGTTCTTAACCACATCCTGCGACTACTTCATTGACATTTATGATCATCCAAATAAATGCAAGCATTTAACAAAGCCTCACAGTCATTTCTGATAAAAATTCTAGCAAACTATGGATTAAGGGGTGTTTGTCAACCTCACAAATGCAATGCCTGAAAATTTAGACCAAACATGTCACCAACTGGCCAAGTCTAAAGGTCTTTCCTCAGGATGGGACCAACCAAGGGTGTGAGCGTCACCTCCTCCATTCAGCACAGCACTGGACGAGCATCCAACGTAACAAGGCACAAAAGAGAAGCAATAAGCCTCCAGGGTAAGGAAAAAGTACAAAGGTCTTCGTTGGTGGATAAAATGGCTGTGTATAAAGAAAATGTAAAGGGATTTATTTTACAGGATGCTAGAATAAGTGACCGGGGCAAACAATATAAAAAAATCAACTGGGCCCGGTGCGGTGGTGCAAGTGGTTAAGGTCCTTGCCTTGCACACCCGGGATCCCATATGGGCACCAGTTCTATCCCAGCAGCCCCGCTTCCCTTCCAGCTCCCTGCATGTGGCCCGGGAAAGCAGCAGAGGACGGCCCAAAGCTTTGGGACCCTGCACCCATGTGGGAGACCCGGAAGAGTCTCCTGGCTTCAGATCGGCATAGCATTGCGTTGCGGCCACCTGGGGAGTGAATCATTGGACGGAAGATCGTCCTCTCTGTCTCTCCTCTCTGTATATCCGCCTTTCCAATAAGAAAATAATTTTAAAAAAAATCAACTGTATCCTCCCAACAAATAATGAACCTTGAAATTATGATGAACTCTCTTGTAATTAGGGATAAATCTGACAAAAGGCACATAAGGTTTGTGCAACAGAAACCACAAAACTCTGCTGAAAGAAACTCAACAAGGGCCCGGCACAATGACTCAGTGGCTAAATACTCACCTTCAAGAAGCAAGATCCAATATGCGTGCTGGTTCATGCCCCAGCTGTTGCACTTCCCATCTAGCTCCCTACTTGTGGCCTGGGAAAGCAGGGAGCTGGATGACCCAAAGCCTTGGGACCCAGCACCCGCATGGGAGACCCAGAAGAAGCTTCTGGCTCCCGGCTTTGGATTGGCTCAGTTCTGGCCATTGTGGCCATTTTGGGAGTAAACCAGTGGATGGGGGATCTTCCTCTCTGTTGCTCCTTCTCTATTTGTAGATCTGCCTTTTCAATAAAAACAAATTTTGAGAACAACAGCAAAAAAAGAAATTGAAGAAAACTTATGTAAGTGGAGAAACATACTTGGTTTAAAGACAGGAACTCTCACAAGGGAGGTGTCAACTCTCGCCATATTGGTCGGTGTATTTTATGTAATGCTAATAAACCCTGCTTGGGCAGGCGTGTGGGGCAGCAGCTCAGGGTCCAGTCAGAACACCGGTATTCCCCATCAGGTGACCCTCCACCTCCCTGAGTCTTTCTTCAGGCACAGGTTTCAGCTGCAGGAGTTAGGTTCTCATGAGGAAGACCTGGATCAAGTTCCTGGTTTGGCCTCAGCTTGGCCCAGCCCAGGCTCAGTGAATGCTGGCATCTGGCAAGTGAACCAGCACACAGAAGCTTCCTGTCTCACTCCCACTTTGCCTCTCAAATATGTATTTTTTAAATTTATAAAAAAAAAATGAAGTTAATAAAATTTTAGAAAGAAAATACAGGAGAAAGCCTTACGACCTTGGATTTAAGTCAGGATTCTATAGACATGACACCAAAAGTA